TGAAGCGGATGAGAGGCATTGTTCATAATGGCTGTGAGCTTGTTCAGCAACCTTCTCTCTGCCACCACCTCCAGGGGGTCGACGGTCAGCCTTCTTGACGAGTTTATTGAGTCGATTTACTATACATCTCTTGTCATGATGCTGCTGCCCTAACACATAACAGTGTAGAAGATGGCCGCTGCCACCACTGATTCATAAATAAATGTGTAGCAGTGTTTCACTTATACCAAAGGACCTGAGCCTCCGAAGAAAATGGAGCCGGTTCTGACCTTTCTTGTGCAGAGTGTCAGTGTTAACAGTCCACTCCAGCTTATCATCCACGTGTACCACTAAGTACTTGTAGGACTGCATCACCTCTATGTCCTCACCCTGGATGGAAACAGGGTTCAGCGGAAACTTATTCCTCCTTTGTAGGAAGGAATTGTAGAAATGAAATTGAGTAAGACATAAAAAACAAGTGCACTCAATAATAAGGGAGGTGAGATCAATAAGGCTGAGCAGATGGGATAGTTTTGTAAAGAATCTATAAATTAATTTGCCAATATTTTCAGGAGGCAGAATCACCAATTACATCTTCATATGATAGCAGTCAACCCACTGCATACATGATACTCATGATGGTCTTGTGCTATTGCTGAATTCACTGTCAAAGGGAGAGTAACTACAATCTAAAGTTCTTACATCTAGTTTTTTTTTTATGATTCCCATGCTTTGTAATGGTAAAAACATAATTTGGAGAAGCCAACATAACTGCTTTTGACGTGATAGTGTCACACATTTCAAACACTTCAGTGTTTTTACAGTTTGATTACTCATTTGCCTGCTCTAAAGAAACTGTTACATTGCGTTCTCTGATTTTTACATTTGGATTGTAGGGATGGGGAACATGTTTTAAATGATCAATGTTTTCAAAGATATTTCTAGTCCTTTCTTTTGCAGTCAGTTTTCAATCAAAGAGATTTTAGTGGAGACTGAGAATTAACACAACCAGGCACTGGCGTATCCAACTTGAAGTGTTTTATTGAAGTTAAGATTAAGAACAGGGCAACTCAAAAGTTAATCAAGTTGAATAGTCCAGTGCCCCATGAAGAGCTGGCAAGATCTAGGGATTGTGATGGTCATCTACAGCTCCTGGTGATTAATGAAGACTGAAAATGAAGTTATTGAGAAGATCTAATGTCTTCTGTGAGTATCGCCAAGTGAAGCGCAGCCTAGAAGGAAGAAGACTTGCTTTCTTGCTCAAAAGGAGAACAATGGGAGAGTTCTGACTCTGGCAGGTGTCTGAAAGACTAGGGACAGACCACTCAAAAGATGACAAACTGAAGTGAATTGTTGGTAGTGTTGGGATTGTGGAGATGTGTGCTGATGTTTGTAACAGCACCTCTTTCCGCATATTTTTGAGAGCACCCACATATGGTGATGTTTTGGAAACAAATGTTGAAAAAAACTGTCTTCACTCAGGTTAGGAGATTGTCAAACAGAAATCTTTTATTCAAACCGCTGAAGGGGAGCATAGCACGCAGTCAGGGTTTCCCCTAGCACTCCGTAAATATGCTCTCTTGACTGAAGTTACACTTTCCTTTTTATACATTAAATGTAGGCTAGACTTTAACCTATCAAAGGAACATGCAAGGCACAGGACACTGTCAGAAGTCTCTCAAACACAAACAGGACAGGAACATGCCATTTGGCATGGAGAAAGACAGTTGTCTTAGGTGCAAACAGAAACCCTTTCCCATGCATAGTCACTGTCTTGACCCTTCTCAGGAGTTCATCACTTGGTCTTCCACAAAAATCAAATCTTGTTTTTTTTTCCCCCCCATACTAATCTAAATTAGCATAGTCCTTGTTTTCACCTAACAATCTCTACTCTTGACCCCTTGAAGTAGGTTTGATGGCTCTGCTTGGCTGGTCTGACTACAGCAAACAATATGATGCTTTAGGAGCCTTTTTATTCCCATCCCCGACATCATTGGATTCTGTCCTGTTGTCATTTAGAGTATATGTAGCTCTCTGACGTCCAGACCGTTTTGGTGCTGTTGAGGCAGTGTTGATTACTGTGCTCTAATGTAGCTGTTTCATTTTATTTTAAGGAACCTTTGGTAGGATTTAAGGGATTTTTGTGACAGACTGGGTGTTGAAATGCTGTATTTTTTTTTCAGTTCCTTCACTTTTTTTTATAAGATTCGATATACTGGATTAATCTTTGTGATTTGTAAAAGCCAAATATTATGTGTCCTGTTATGGTTTTTTTTTACACTTTTGTAGGTCATTTATGTTGCCAGAAATCCCAAAGATGTTGCTGTGTCATTTTTCCATTTCCATAATTTTTCTAATTTTCTGGAAAACCAAGAAAGCTTTGATGATTTTTTGAATAAGTTTCTTCATGGGAATGGTAAGCTTTATCGTTAACAACAACAACAACAACAACAACTTAAATGTTGTGTATTAATAAAGTCAGTTCTTATTCAGGTACAGTATAGATTACCAGGTGTGCTGTTGCTAATTCTAGTTATTCTACACATTACTTTTTAGCAGTGTTCTAAAATATAATGACTGTTTCAGCATTCAAATCATGTTTACTAAAAAGAATTAACACCCTCTTGGGAATGAATTTAGAGCATAGATCAGAACATTTGCAGGATAAGCCTGAGGTGCTTTTTTTCTCATTTATAACATTTGCATTTTATAATCAGGGTCATATTCTCTGACTGTGTAGAAGCAGTTCTAGATGAACAATTTGCTTTATCTGTTCCCTGAGCTGACAGTGCACAACTCTGATACTTGAAGATCCCAAATGACACAATTTTATATCTCCTTTGAAATTATTTTCTAACAAAAAATGTAAAATTGGTCTAACAGGGATAATAATTGTTTCAGATAAGAAGCTTGGGTGGAATCCTGAAGATGTTGTGCATCGATGTCTATGTAATGTTAACTAGCGATGCCCTTATTCCATTATTTTCATTGTGATATTAATGTACACATTTTACTTACTACAATTCACCTTGAACCAGACATCCATATTTTTGTCTTTTTTTTTAATATATATACAGTTTTTGGAAGCTCTTGGTTTGACCACATTAAAGACTGGTACAGTCATAAACATGAGTTTGACTTCCTGTACATCACATATGAGGAAATGATCAAGGTAAAGACACTGCTGCATTCCAGATCAGGAAAAATCATTTAAGTTTTAATAGAAATTAAACTTAATTGAACTGTTGATGTTTGATGATGATGAAAAATGGTATTTTAAACACAGTTATAATTATGTTTTATGGTACTTTTTACTTCAGTCCTGAAAAAAGTACTTCAGTTACAATGTGAAATTACAACCTTTGTTGTAGGACTTGCGGAGTTCTGTACTCAAAATCTCACACTTTCTTGGCAAGAAGCTGGATGACAAAACAGTTGATATGATTGTGGAAAACGGCTCTTTCAAGAACATGAAGAACAATCCAGTTGCCAATTCAGAGAGATTTTCTTCCGAATATTTTGAACGTAGCAAAGGCTCCTTTCTTAGAAAAGGTAATCGATTGTTATACTTAACCTAAGGTAACAGCAGAGTGCACAACGCTTAGTGTACTCTTATTACATGTCAGGATGTGAAACATGGATTTAAGAAAGCGTGAGATGAAACTAAGTCTCACTGGTCCATCCAGTATCTTTTACAGGTACAAACAAATACATGTTGACGTACATTACTTTGAGAAATTGTTGTGATATTTGTAAAACCTTGTTAAAACAATTTCTACCATCAGGTTGAATAAAAAGGACTCCGAGCAGATATGAGTGACATGGTGGTACAGTGTTCAGCATTGTTGCCTCACAGGACTGGGACGCTGGGTTCAATTCTGGATCCTGGGTGCTATTTGTGTGGATTTTTGTTCTCCCTGTTTTTGCTTGGGTTACCTCTGGGTGCTTTAATGTCCTCCCATAGTTCAAGGAAACATAGGTAGCCTAATTGGTGCTGGGATAACTTGCCCTGGTGTGAGTGTGTGTAGTTTTGTCTATGGGTGCTGTTTAATGGATCCAGAGTGTATCCCACCTTGCACCTGTTGCTTGCCGTGACAGGCTTCAGCTTTCCTGTGACATCTACCAGATAAAGTGGTTAGAAATCAGCTGGATGTGTAGACATCACACCCCCCCCTCATTAAAATAAGCTCACTTGGTGCTTTTTATTTTTACATGACTTTAGGCTTTTCAGGAAACCTGTGGACATGGCATAGTTGTCAGCACCTATATCTAAACACAGTTACCTTAATACAGTCCTCAGATTTAACTGTTTTTTATCATCTCCTGACTTGGCTGATTTGCAAAATATTCTCTCATCAGTCTGTTAACCAGTAATGAAAAGAATTCTCATACATGAAGAATAATGCTATTATTTTCAGAAAATCCTTCTTGAACAAGCACTTTAATCTTCCCTATTTTATTGGAAACCCATTGTTAGTGATAATAATACCCTTTCCTCACACAAATGAATGGCCAATTACTTGTGCCTGAATTCTAACACAAAACTCAATATGAGACTGAGTCTGGCATGCTCTCCCAAACTATTTTATTAAAAAATCTATATGAATAATACTGTACTACAGCATGCTATTATTCTGATTAAGAACTGAATATTCATGTTAAAATTACAATGCAGCAATACTTAGAAATGTATAGAGTGTATTCATGTATCTGTAAAGACCACTTCATTTAGTGGGAAGTCAGTATTGGTAGTTAGTTGGATATTGCATTCAGTGATGGTAAGGTGCGATCTGTTAACCTGCAAATATTTGCTAACCCTTTTCCTTTCAACAGACATTGCTGTGAAAGATGAAAAAATTCAGGATATCAATAATTGGTAATATTTGGGCCTTAATGGATTGCCTTTCACACAGGAGGCAAAAAGTGCCCTAACCATTTTTCACTGGAACATGTTTCCTTTTGAATATTTTCCAGTGTTGGTGAAGTTTATTCTCTAGATGAAAATCTGGGGAGGGGAACAACTGGTGGAAGATAGAGATCATTTTCAATACCACTCTGAACAAATGAGTATTGAAGCGTAAAACCTGTTCCTCTGAATAAAACAATCAAAAGCTACCTTAATAACCCAGCTAATGTTTCATAATGAAGAAACTACATTTCCTAAAGGTACTTTAGGTAGATTGTAATGAAAAAAAAGTAATTCATGATGGTTAAACAAGCAGAACAGAACAAAAGATGGGGTGGTACTGGCTTTCCTTTTGCTTGCAGTGGTTAAGTGATAATATTAATGCTCTGTCTGCAGGTAATAAAGCAAAACCTGTTATTTAATTTCCTTTCAGGAAAAGTTGGGGACTGGAAGAACATATTCACTGTGGCTCACAATGAGAAGTTTGATGAGTTCTACTGGAAGAAAATGAAAGATGTTCCTCTAGATTTCATTTGGGATCTTTGTGAATAGAGCCACATACTGTATACTTCAACCTACTTTTGCTTCTTCTGCAGAGTAAGATATTGAGTCTATTGAAATATAAAGTGTATTTGCCATACAGAAACTTTCACACAATTGAATACTAATACATATTGTAACATTTATAACCTCAACTTTGTAAACAAACCCAATGTAACTCAATCAAAAGTGTGAATTTGCAGTTGGGTGGTGGTTATAAGCCTCTGTCCCATTATTATGCTGCTCACTGGTGCTTGATTGATTGGCTCACTAGCAGAAGTGTTCCCATACAATATAAAAAAAGTTCAGGACTCACAAGCTTAGGTGGGAATTACAGAAAAATAAAAATCTAACTTAATGCCAGAAACCATATGGGGAAAAAATACTAAGTGATACACATGGTAGACATTAACAATCGAGAACTAGAAGCCCTGAGTACAGTGCACCTAGTAAGCACACCTTACTCACTTAATCATAAGTATAATTAACTATGTACTTTGTGGGAAGCATTAATCTCGACAGTGGTTGATCCTTAGGAAATAAAAATCACTTTCTTCTTCATCCTTTTCACTGTTGATCTTAAAGCAGTATTGAGCCCTTAATCCCAGTTTAAATTAATAAAACTAGTGAACAACTACCAAAGTTATTTAAGCTTTGATTACCTTGTTAATTAATTTGCTCTTTTTGTGCTTTATCCTTCAAATATTCTATAAAGTGTACAATTAGAGCTACATGAGTATCTTGGTTTTCTTGCTTGTAAAACTGAATCAAAACCAGATATCATCTCTGGTTCTGGAAAACTCCAAATCAGGAATATTTACAGTAACTATTGCATCAGCTATTTCTCAAGACTATAATTTTTAGTAATTAAATCACATAAGCTGTTAAATTTATTTAACTAATTAAATACATGTTTTTAGCTTAATTTTACATATTTAAATACATTTAATAACAAATGAATTATTTGAATAATAATACCTGTGTTCTTCTAAAAACAGTTCTTCAGAGGAAATATAACTTTTAGACTACCAATGGAGTAAAAAAGCCAAGATTTATTTAAGTTAAAAAGTATATAATATTTCAAGTAAGAATCCATATCTACAATATGAATACCTTTATACATACATTAGCAACTGAACTTTTTCCTGTAGACGTAAACGGAGCTGAACTTGACTCAGGGGATTTTCTCTGCACATAGGTTTCTTGAGCTTTGAAGTCGAACCTGTGGTAGTAAATAAGAACAAAGAGCATTTGTATTATGTAATGTGGACCAATTACTCCAAGTTATAGTCTGTACTTGCTTACACTTTCCTTTTCAAAGTTAAAATTGTTAAATAATACCATAAAGCATTATTCTTCAAAATAACTGTCTCCAAAGGTTTATACAGGAAGCTCTGAGGAAATCTGAATTTTTAATGACATTTTATGAATTCATATTTTATGGATATTATAAAGTAGATTTGACACAAAAAAGGTTACTTGTTTCTCTTCTGGGGAAAGCACTCCCTCTACTGCCACCAGCTGGTACTGCTTATGCTTTAATCCACTGGGGAATCTGCGGAGGTGCCTAAGATTGCCAGGTCTCAGGTCATTTCCCAAAAACCTCTTCATGTCCTCTGAAGGGCAACCTGGGTCAAATATTAAAATACAAAGACTTCCATTCTTCTTCTCTTCAATCCCCACAATTGAACGACTATGACCTGCAGAGACAAGAACAATTTTAAGCTGAACATAAATTTTGATCAGCAAAGAAAACGAGAACTGTTAAAAGCCAATAAGAACAGACGAATGTTTTGATATTGTAAACAGTTCAGATTGCATCACATTTGGTGAGAAGAGCACAAACAAGTAGCTAGTCCACCTAAAACATTCATGAACTCTCTAACTAGTAGCATTTCTTTTTCTGAAGTACTGCAGAGAACTGAATTCAGAGTACAGAGACTTAAAGGAAAATCCTGGTTAACCTTATTTCCTTGCTAATGATGTTAGGTTTATGAACCTCGTATAGATCTGCAAGCAAAAGTTTCTTTCCTTCGGAAAACAGGCATTTTTCCTCAAGAACTGAGTTTACTCATATTTTCAAAGGATGTGCACACCTTCACTTACAAGTGCACATTTACCTTGGTGCTGCAGGTATATTGGAGGCCTGGTGGTCTGGACAACCCTGGGAGGAAGTCTTGCTGCTCTGCTTGTGGCCACAGAATAGTAGCTCCTGACCCACTCAAAGAGCCTGGGATGGGTGTCAGAGGGGCCTGAGGGCCGGTGGAAGTCAACAATGCGACACCTGTTGAAAGAAATCAAAAGAAATCCCTCTTATCATTTTAAACATGTGCCCATTACTCCTGTTAGAACTGCTCTGTTTTAACTGGCACACCCTTTGTTAGTTACTGGTCCTTGCTCTTGCTATAGTGTATAGCGTGCACTTGCTGTTGCACCTCGCCCGTCTCGTGAAGAGCCACTCACTTCACCCTGAGAGATGTCAGCACAGAATAGATTTCGGTGGCTCCTATCCAGGCGCGCGAGCCCTGCAGCTTGTGGTTGAAGTGGTAGGCTCCCTGGGGATCAGCACCTTCTCTCCAAGCATCTTCAATCATCGCCTGCACTCTTGGAATACATGGGACTGCCCCGCCTCCGGAACAAAGAACGACATAAAACCAGCACATGTCACCGAGTCCCGTTTTCAGCTTCGGTGGTAGAATCGGTTCATAACATTTCTCAAGAAACTGATAAAAGAGATCGTTATTGTTGAAATAATGTTGAATAACTACTGAATAACTCTAATCAGTTATCCACCCATGTCCTGTTCAGGTTTAATGGCTCAAAGTGTAAAACACAGGTTGTATGGTTCAGTTTTCTGTTTTTTGAGATGATTAAGCATTGTGAAGCGCAGAAATTGAAGATGTAAATTTCATATGCGAGAAAAGCCCAAACATTTCCTAAAGAGAAACAACTAATTTTTTTAAAGCAACTGGTTAGTTAGGCAGTACGAGTGAGACCCAGCACAGTCTGTATTTCTCCGGTATAGTCTATATAAATACAGTGCTTCTTAGCATTTTGCATCCAAACTTTTATGGAGAAGTTCTCTCATCTTCATCATGATGCTCAGATGATTCTTACAATGTTGTTACTTAAGTACTGTTTTTATTAAATACACAACTGCTGGTTTTCATTCCTGAAGAACATAATTACCTAACTGAAGCCTTAGCCGAACTACTGTATAAGTTTTTTAATTGAACACTTGCAAGGTTTTTTTTAATCAGAAGTTTAGGATTGTATTTTATTTATAAAATACAGTCGTTAAAAGGCACCCCCTAACATATTAAAGAGCTAAATATAGTCAAACAGTTTAAATTATTATTAATCATTTTTAAATGTATGGAACAAAAGCCAGCAGGTGTGTGAACTTCTAGGACCTGAATTGGGAATCCCTGAAATAAGAAACTAAGGGCAACCTGTTAGTAATCTGTGGGGAAATACTGCCACTTTGGAACTACAAACAGAAGATGTACCCTGGAAATAGTTTCTTTTGAAGTTACTAGATCAGACACAAATGTAACAAACATCTGAAATTGATAAAGCGCACAGAAGGAGATGCAGATTACATTTGAGGCAGTCCTTGTACAGATCCATCTTCAGAAGACAGGACAAAAGCATCTGGAAATTCCTGTAGCCACATCCCCAGCCCTTATCTCCAGCAGAAGAGTGGAAATGATCGGTTTCAGCACAAAGCCACACATGTACAGTGTCTCTTCCTTCTCTCTGATAGTATTCATATAATGCTCCAATTACACCTACAACATAAAAAAATAATATTTCACTGAACCCTGGCATCATATATCCCAGAACCAAATTCAAAAATGCCTATTAATAATTGATAAACTATGAATCCAATAATATGCACACAATGAATCCTTACCTTAATATATATATATATTCTATGACTTGTTTTCAAAAATGGGACTGAATTTCAGTTTTAGAAGTTCAAATGATTCTGTTCACTGTGTGGTGCTGGACTGGCATCCTGTCCAGGGTTGATCCTGGCTGGTGCCCACAGCCTGCCAGGCTAGGCTCAACAGGACCCTGCAGTGGACTACCTTCTTATAGAACTTGGATGAACTCTTCATGACTTGGGGACTATTGTGAAGAGGGAACTATTTTTGAATACTTGTTGAAAAGTATAAGAAAGTGGAGTGCACTTAATTCCTAAATACTGCATTATAATCGACTTCATTTCATTAGTGCTTCTATAATTAAAAGACATAAATTCTGGAAATTTCACAATTTTACAAGTCACTAGCAATGCTTTTTTCCTTGTGAACTACAAATGCAATTTTCTTATCGAAGACACCCACACGTATTTTGCACCTGTACAAAGACATTTATCCTACATTTCTGAAATTGAGGGGAAAAAAAAATCAAAATCAATATTTAATGTAATAACTAGGTTGCAATTCAACAATTTTTCAATATAGAGGCAGCTGACTGTACTGCAAAACCGTCATTTAAGTAGGTAAATGTTACTGTAAATATTACAAACCTGATGTCCTTGTTTTCCCGTCATCTACCCCAGAAGCTAAGGATTCCATCATTTCTGCTTTCCTTCTGTGGAACTCAACAGCTGTCATCTGGCCACGGAACACCGCCCTCTCCATGTTCCGAACGTGCTGTTTCTTATATCCACCACTGCCATCTAAACCAAACTGCGCCTGTCACAGAAAAAGGAGCAAATAGTTCTTAATCGTATACATCTACAGAAAATGAATTTTGGCTCATTTGAATATTAAAGCAGGGAGCTTGCAAAAGTATTCACAACCTTTGTACGATGTCCCATTTTGTGATCCTATAAAATAATGCGGAGTTTTTTTTTTACAACATTTTATTCAAAACCTGAACCTGAAAACTGAAGACTAAGGGTAAGATATGTTGTAGTAAATACCAGCAAAAACTAAAGAAAAAAAAATCCAGAATTTGTTGATTACATAAGCTTTCAGACCTATCAACGCAATATTTGGTAGAAGCACCTTTGGTAGCAATAACGGCCTCAGGTCTTTCTGGGTAAGTCTTTACCACCTACTGACTTTTTTGTTGATTATTTTTGGCAGATGCACTCAGACTCTCTCACGTTTCTGGGGACTGCTTATAGACAGCAGTTTTCAGGTTTTTCCCACAGATTCTCAAACAGATGCCTTTGACTGGGACTTAAGGACATTCCCTTTCTGATTCTTAAGCCATTCCAGTGTAAGCGTGATGATAGGCCTTGTGCTTGTGATTGTTTTGCTGAAATGTGCATTTTTATTCTAGTTTTAGGTCTGAAGCAGGTTTTCCTCCAAGCTTTGCCAGCACTTTGCTCAGTATATATCAGTCGTGACAAACTTACATAAGACTGTTTCCCATCTCAGCAACTGAAATCTGTAACTGTATCATGTAATCTTTAACTCCAGACTGACATACCTAAACTGCTTCTATCATTCCCAGCTGCTCAGATTGGAGGAACATCTTAATAACAGCTTAATCTAGGCAGCATCTGGGTGCCTTCCATTTCTTACTGACTGGATTTATCATATTTAAAGAGGGACAGGATGGTGGTGCAGTGGCTAGTTTTCCTGCCTCACACCACTGGGGCCTCAGGTTCAGTTCTGGACTTGGGGTGATATCTGTGTGCAATGTGTATGTTCTGGCCCATGTTCACAAGGGTTTCCTTTGCGTGCTCTGGTTTCTTCCAACAGTACAAAAACATACTGTTAGCTTAGTTGGTTTCTAAGAAAACTGGCCCTGGTGGAGTGTATGTTTGTCTGTCTGCCCTGCGATGAACTGGCTTCCCGTCCAGGCTACACCCTGGCTTGTGCCCTTGCTTGCCAGGATAGGCTCTAGCTCCCCCCCGACCCTGAACTGGTCAGAAAATACATGGATGTTCTAAGAGATATTCATTGTCTTTGAAATGATTGTGTACAATTCTCCTGATCTGTGCCTGTGTATGGCCTTCCTGGTTGAACCAGGGAACCAGGTTGCTTAAAATTAATTACCTGACTGAGACTTTACAGAGATTTGCTCTGAAATTATGTGAACTGCTATTATTAAAACCAGACAGAGGCCACTAAACTAAATGTATGGCTCATTAAGATACGTTGGGGAATATTAATTTACTGCGGGTTTGTCACAGCATAGGGTTTGGAATACTCATGCAATCACGACTTTTCTTTGACTACGTTGTACAAGTTATGTACATAAGAAATATACATGAATTGCTACTTCAGAGTGTCACGACTGCAATCTTTAAAGCGACAAATTGTAAAAACATTGCAGGGGTCTGAATACTTTTGCAAGGCACTGTCGTGGGAAAAACAGAGCCACAGCATTAAATACTGTATGAAGTGTTTTAAATAAAATGATCGATGCGTCTATGAACTTTTTTATGCGACAATATATGAGTTTAACGTAAGTTAAGATACATGAAAATAACTTTAAAGCACTTACAACAACTGAATGACTGAAGTCTCACTCTTCATTTTTTAATGAAAAGAGTGTGTGCTCCAATGCAATGCTATGTTGCAGATTAAAACACAATAACCTGCAGTTTCTTGAATTCCTCGGCTTCTCGCCGTGCCTCTTCTTTTCTTCTTTGTATTTCCTCTTCCTCTTGTAGCTTCATGGCCAAACCCAGATCGGAAGGGGCATTCTCTAAAAGAAAATGAAATCAAATACAAAAGAGCTGGAGAATTTTAATGACTACTGTCTTGAGAGTTTGCATTTCCAAAAGCTCAGCTATTAGTTTTTCATCCTGAAAGCACGCTGTACCTGCAACCATGCTGTTTTCCACAAGATGGAGGTCAACATGTTCCTGCAGGATGATGCTATTTCTGAAGATCAAGGAACAAAAAGGACACTGGTACAGTTTTCCTGCGTGACTCTCTAGAAATAAAAACATGCATATCTGTTAATCAATACAGAACTTTAGTGCACAGAAGATATAAAGTTATACGGTAAAAAACACTCAAAGTATAAATGTAACATTTTACTTTATGTTAATGTGAATAGTTACAAGGACTAACAAGCAACAACACAACAAACCACTAAATTTGTATTCACTGCAGCTACTATGCAAATGGAAGCATGTGTTATTTCAGTACTGATTTTAACAGTACCTAAATCCCTTCTACTTTTTAAAATTAGTTTATACCTTACAAAGAACCACTGCCTTCTAACAAATCTTTTAGCTTTGATCCTCAGAGTACCTAAAATACAAAGAGTGAAAGTCTACCATATTTGATATTTTTTAATTTATATTTTGTTGTCCACTGCTTTTATTGAGTCTTGCCCACAGTTCTGTCCCATGAAATTCATCAGCGTAATTAACATTTAAAAAAACAGAATAAATTAACCAGTGGAATGTTTAGGTCCTTCTGCTCAAATGGCTATTCTTTAAACCTATTCTGCCAGGAATGTATACAGTAATACTAAGAGGGCAGCTGAATACTGAGCTTCCACTTTAACATCCATCACACTTACACTACAGGAATGCCCATACATACTTGAAGTTGTATATTTTGCATTCGCTGAGTCACTGGCTGAGCAGTATGCTCCTAAGAGCTCAACTGGTTCCTCGTCTCCATCAGGATCCTGGAGAGCCATGCTTTCTTCTCCCGTTTTCACTCCCTGCTTACATATAAAATAAAACGTTGCTCTGTTGAAAGCAACCCGAACCAAAAAAACAACGCCAAATCCAAAAACAGGTTTAATTTAATTAATTTTTTTACTTGATTTGCAGGGCTTTTCCAACTTGTTTTACGTTTTGTTTCTTAGAGAAGGGAACATATTGACAGATCTTCAAAACTAAAAAAAACTAAATTAGGAACTATTTAGCATGACACAGGACATTACAGTGCCTTGCACATTTTTCATTTTAGTTCAGGTGGGTAGCTGC